GGCTGCCTGCCTGCCTCCTTTGCCTGTCATGAACAGTGCTGTGAGGAAGGCTCAGAAGCCCGGTTCGTTCCTGCACAGAGCTGTGGGAGAACCAGCTGCTCCTCGGGTTTCCTGCCACGGCCATTCCCTGGGTGGGCATGCCTGGGGGACACAGAGAGGACAGTGTGGCATTGCCACCTGGCCCTGTGTTCCCAAGCAGCCTTCATACAGGCCATATACATTTGTGCTGCATTTCAGCCCTTTGAGACCCGAGTCGTTCTGGTTTTCTGTTCAGCTGAGTGCCTTGGTTTGCTGTGAACTCTGTATTTCCTACCTCCTCACTCAGGTGGGCTGTGGTATGTCTGCTCACCTCCCACTGCAGCACCAGAGGCCTGCAGGTTCCCTCTAGCTGCTTCTCAGCTGCTCAGCTGGTGCTTGAACACCCCACTGCAATGAGTGATTTGGGATCTGTCCATACTGGGGCTGTGGGTTTGGTGTGTGTGTGTGTCGCCGGGGTGAGACAGGCCCCATCCTGAAATCCTTGCTCCTCTGCTTTGGTCTCACAGTGGGAAGAAGCACCTTGATGGGAAGGAAGGTCCCTAGGATGGGGCTGTGTCCATCTGTTACGCGTATATGCTCCCTCCTGTTGTGGTCTTGCTACCACCCCTGGTTGGTGGCTCTGTGTGTCTTCCCCGACCTCCTGAGGTCACTGCCTGCTCTACCTTACCCTGTGTGCTGTCATGTGCCTTACTCCGTCCTTCAGCAGCAACCTTGCCCTTTTCTGCCTCCTTTTTAAGTTGTCTTTTCAACCACTGCAGTGCCTGCGACAAAGCTGAGCACTATGACCCGTCCCAGTGCTGGGCCTTGCCAGTGCAAGTACGATCTGATGGTCTTCTTTGAGATTTGTGAGCTGGAGGCCAACGGCGAGTAAGTCCTATTCTTTAGCAAGGGCTGGTCAGGGTGTGGGGAGCTGGAGAAGGGGACTGTTGGTGCTGGGATTTCACCTGTGGTCACCTGTGCCACACTGTAGCATCCACATGTCGGAGGGTCCTTGCAGAACGGGGCCTACTTTGATATCTGAGATCAATGAGGATTCCTCCTTGGGATCTGTTGGAAAATAAATGGCACACTGAACGTTTGGGGAATGAGGTGATGGTCAGGCCCTTGGAACTATCCCTGGAGAAAAATCACAGCCTGTTTTCAGCTGCTTTGCGAAGGGGAGAGAAAAGAGGGAGAGGAAGGCAGTGCAGTTTAGCTGTAAATTTGCCTGGTGATTTGTCCAGTGGTTGGCGCCTATGAGAGGTCTGATGGGCTTCACAGCATGAGCAGAACTAGGTCTCACACCACGATCCTCTCTTCCAGCTACATCCCTGCTGTTGTGGACCACCGTGGAGGCATGCCATGCCATGGGACCTTCCTCCTCCACCAGGTACTCCCTGTCTGAGATCCAGTCCATGTTCTGCCAGGCTCCTGTCCTTCTGTCCAAGAGCTATATTAACCACTGTCATTTTCTCTCTGGCCTTGTGGGTCTCAGGGTATTCAGAGGAGAATCACTGTCACCTTGGTGCATGAAACAGGCAGCCTTATCCGCTGGAAGGAAGTGCGAGAGCTAGTCGTGGGTAAGCAGAGTTGGGTTTGGTGTTATCTGAACAGCCCTCTACCTGCCTGGCTCCCCTAAGCACTTCCTCCCAGGCCCTGTTTCTCTCCCATGTTCCTAAGACTTTATGTTGCCTTCCACTTTTCTCCTGCTATCCTACCTGCAATAGAAAAGAGGTGATTGCTCTGTGGATGAGACCACAGAGAAGGGTGCTGCATGGTGGGACAGCTTGGTCCTGGGCACCACGTCAGAAACAACAGAGCCACCCTGGCAGTGTAGCTTAGTGACTTCTGGGCCGGGGTATTCCTGCAGGGGCTGGGCCCTGAACAGTCCTGCCTGTACAGCGCTGGGCTCCTGTGCCTCCCTGGGCAGCGAGGCTGCTGGTCCACACAGAGGAGGGGCAAGGTCGTCGCTAGGCTGAGCTGCCCAGGACATGCTCTGCTAAGAAGATGCAGGAATTGCTCTGTCCCTGAGTACCCTGAGGGACCCAGAGAGCCTGGGAAGGGAAGGACAGCTTGCCTGGCACCATGTCATCATGGCAGGCAGGAGATACAGAGGCGCTGGGCTTTGTATGCTTCTCTGCTAAAGGAGGGAAGGATCCAGGAACAGGCCCAAGCTGCCGAGAGTGGATACACTGGGAAACGATCTTTGTGCTTTTGAGCCGCCATTACTATTGGGAAATAACTCCTCTAAGAAATGTGGGCTCTTGTTCTTCCCTGGGCCTACATGTCACAAAGGACCTTGCAGGGCTGCCTGTCCCCTAAGCAGAGCATCCCCATGCTGTGTTTGCAGGTCGGATCCGGAACACCCCAGAAGCAGACGAGTCTCTCATTGACCCTAACATCCTGTCCCTGAACATCCTGTCATCTGGTTACATCCACCCCTCGCAGGACGACCGGTGCGTGTGGCTTCTTCTCTTGTTCCTCTTTCAAGCACAGTGCCATTGGGGCTGGCCAGAGATGCGGAAGATATGGGGAGCCTCTCTCTCTCTCCCCTGGGTGCTCTCTGACCCTTAGCAGGGTTCTGCAGGCCTTTGCTGCTTCAGGCAGCTATTCTTCTGGAGCTGCAGCACAGAGAGTCTCGGGATACAGGGCAGGAGTCACTATGAGAGTCCCAAAGCCCTAGGATGCCAGCTCCTTCCTGCTTCCTCCCCACCACTGGTGCCCAAGGCCTCTCCAGGCTGGGGTTTAGCAGTTCAGCGAATTTGGGACAGAGCTCTTGCTACAGGTGGCAAACGTGGCCACCTGACTGACACAAAGAGCTGCTTGGGTTAAATGCATCCTGTTCCTCCAGAGCTGTTCCCTGAGCAGCAGTGGAGGAGTTCATACTGACCAACTAGCTCCTGCAGCTGGGGCAAATGTGAACTCATGTTCATCCAGTGTCCTGGCTAACTTATCGGAAATGCTATTTTGTGCCCATGGGTGATCCTTGTGTGTCCTGGGTGATCCAGGAGAACCATCCCTGATCATTGCAGGCACTGACAGATTACTTTGGGGACTCCTGGGACAGCCTGTCCCAGGGCATGCACCAAGGAAGCTCTCCTCCCGCGGTGGCTTTGTCTTGAGTGTTAAAGCAGCAGGATTGGAGGCTTTACATCATCAAGATCTCCTTGACTGCAAGGGGATGGCTCTGGCTTAATCTGCCCTTGGCCTTGGCCCTGCAGCCCCAGTGCACTAGATTGAAAGGAGAGCCCCAGGGAAGTGCCCTGCCCTGAGCTCCTAGGACCCACATCAGAGTTGTGCAAGACCTTGACGGCAGCTGCAAGCCAGGTCTCTGGCAGTCTCGAGGCCTTTCTCTAATGTGGTTTGAAGTGCCTTTGGCTGAGACCCTGGGCAGCAGCAAGCTCTGAAGACCTGTGGCTGGGTCCGACCACCGATGGGAGAGTGGTGGGCCCAGGGAGCAGAGCTCTCCTCTAGGTCGGCGCTGCTGGCCCAGTGTGTGGGGGGACACCCCCAAGCAGAGCGAACCTCCCCAGGCTGGTGGTGGGTCCACACTGAGCTGTTGGGGGGAACGGTTTGAGTGCATGTGTTTGGGGAGCCACGGGCTGGGGAGGGTGCTGGTTGCTGTGACGTGTGTGAACGAGAACGGGGCCAGTTGTTGGTGGCACTGGGAACACCAGGAATGGTTCTGGGCACTGTGCGCACCGTGGGAGCGTAGTGGGATGGGAGTGGGATTATCTTTCCCTTCATTTTCTTTGGGACCACTTGGCGCTCCTCCACTGAGGTGGCCTATCCCAAGGCTGGGTATTTATTTCACTGGGGGATTATAAAGCTCTGACTGTGAGATGGCACCATGAAACACTCCCAGGTCAGCTGCTAGGTGAGCGGCAGCCCACTGTCTCGGCGGAGTAGTGGGGCAGTGAGTATCTGGCCAGCGTAGCCAAGGTAGTACGCGCATGTGAATGTCAGACCAGGAGACTGTGTCACAGCCGTGAGGACAACAAAATGAGGTCAAACAAGAGGCTGATGGCCTGGCAGCAGGGACGGTGAGGTGAGAAGAGCTCAGACCAGCAGAGCTGCTGTGCTTTTTGCTGAGAAGTATGGGGGCTGGGAGTAAAACGGCTGAGATACATTGGCAGGCTGGCTCCTGGGACTACACTGATTTACATCAGCTGGTGATGTGGCCTGTTAGTCCTGGATGAAGGCAGATCATCAGCATCTCTAGAGCAGCCTGGCATGGGGAAAAGTGCCTCTTGCCCTTCCTTCCTATGTGAGACCGTCAAGGTGGCAGACACGGCCCGGGGGTGGCGAGGATATTCAGGGGAAAGTGGGGAGAGAGAAGTGGGAAGATGACTGTTTTTGCAAGGGCCTGTATCACTTGCATGCTCAGGAGGTCTGTGCCTCTGGGCAACCCCAAAGCTAAGCTGAGAGGCCGGTACACACCGTCTCCCTTTGTCCCGCTTGTGGTACTGTAGATGCTGTGGCAGGCTGGGCAGGGGCACGGGACAAGGAGGAGGGTGGAGGACTTCCAGCAGGGCGATGAAGAGCAATTCCAAAAGCCCTGTGCTTTGACCCTGCTTAGACTCGTGCACGCCTTGTTCCCAGCAGCCTCTAAGGATGTGAGACCCTGGACCGAGGGAGGGGAGCTAGCGGAGCAGGGCCCATCTCACCCTCTTCCTGGGCTGCTTGTGCTCCCTGCTTTGCTACCCTACATCATTCAGCCTCCATTGCCGAGAGCAGCCTTGGCTCTCCCCTTCTCCTGAGCCTGTGAAGCCTCCTAAGTCCTCCAGAGCCGCTCTGGAGGAGACCTGGGAAAGCCCCCAGCATTGCCGAAGGAGAAGTATTACTGTGGGTGTGTTAAGCCTGGTGTGTGATGCAGCCCAGGCTGTGGCTCTGCTTTCAAATGCCGCCTCCTGACCTGCTCCCAGGCAGGATCAGCACCCTGTGTGCTTACTGGAGACAGTTGAGCGGCTCTCAATCCCAAAGGCAAGCTGCCAGGTGGGCTCAGATCCCCTGCTTTGCCCCTAAGAAACAAGATGAAGACAAACTCCCAGGTCCAGGAGTCCCCCTCACCTTCTCCTCTGAAACTCAGCACACTGTCGACACTGTGCATCCATGCGGGACCTCTCTGCATCCTCGAGGCTTTGCTGCCGCGGCATGGCCGAGCATCCGGGGAGGAGTTGAAGGGGTGCAAGGGGCAAGTGCCCTAGGCCCTGGCTTCCTTGCTTCTCTCTGAAACTGCTGCTGCCGCTGCTGCTGCCCATTCAAGCCCACACTAACCATGTGATTGTTTTGTGTTTTTGCAGGCAGTTTCTTGATTCGGATATGCCTAGGTATTATTTGTTTCCATTGATTTTTTTTCCACCCCTCCTCTCTCCCCTCTCTCTTCCCCTCACCTCAGCACTTTCACTCCCTCCAAAGACAGCACTTTGATTTCTGGCTCTTCTGACTCTCCATTCACCTCTTCCCTTCTTCCTCCCACATCCCTGGGCACCTCTCTTACACTCTGCCCCTTTCCCTTGGGTTTTGCTGTTTGACTGGGTCGCGCACTCTCTCTCGCTCTCGCTCGCTCTCTCGCTCTCTCTCTCGTCGGCCTGTGTCCCATTGCCTGGTTTTGGTTTTGTTCTTTCCTTTTGACTTTGCTGCTCTCCTATCTTTCTGACATCTGGCAAAGAACATGCTGCCCCCATCGCCTCCTGCCCTTTTCCCAGCTCTGGCCCAGGAGCACTTTGAGTAGCTGCAGGCTGGCGCGGACCGCATGGGAGGCTGGCAGGGGCCAGGACGCGTGGTGAAGGATGGCTGTGGTCTAGGAGCTGCAGAAAGGACCTGGGGGCATCCTGGCCTTTCAGCATTCCTCTCCCGTTGCCCCTGCTTCAAGCAATAAGCTTGTACCATATCAGGTCACCGGGCTGCAGCTGGGGGCTTGGCTGCCACCACTTCCCCGTGCCTCGGTGCGCCCGCACTGCTTGCTGCAGGCTCTGGGCTCTGCCCGTGGGGCACGGAGGGCTGCGCAGGCAGGAGGGCTGGCTCTCCTTCATGCCTCCTTCGCCAGCTGGGGATGATTTGCAGGGGGGCTTCCGAACTCGGAGCTGGGCCACAGCATGCCCTGAAGGCCTCCAGGCCGCTGAGGTCTTCCTGGGGGTTACCCTCAATCAGAGACTTTTCAGAGCTGAACCAGTTCACTGCCGCTGCATGGACTGGCCCTGCGGATGGATGCGTGTGCGTCATCCGCAGGGCATGTCCAACCCTCGCCTGGGTGCCCCTGACCTCTGGAAGGCGTTGCTGGGCGTCCATGCCATCTCCTGCTCTGGTAGGGGCAGTTTCCTCTGAGCTGATGGCTCTTAGACAGTGGCCAGCATCCTGCAGGAGAGGGCTGGAGGGGAGGCCGTGCGTGTATTGCTCTGTGTAGAAACTGTGCAGAGGCGTGTGTATGTGTGTGTGCACACGCGTGTTGTGTGCGCACCCCATAACAGGTATAGGGGCTGTGTATACATGTTGCTATATATAAATGATTTTATGCGTGTAGGTACAATCTATAGGTGATGTGTGTGTGTACGCAAGTCCGTGTAAAGGCTACACCTACGTTCGGGTACATAGTGGTACCATGGCAGAACAGGGTGGCAGATGTTTGGGGCAGGGGATGTGTGGGTTTAGCTGGGGACCACAGTGGTGAGCCTGGTGTGTAGCTTGTGGGCAAGAGCCCCCAGACCCAAATGCTGCTCCCAGTCTCCAAACGGGAGCATCACCAGGGCCCCAGGGAAGAGGGGGTTCCCACAGCCATCCCCCGTCTTGTGTATCCTGTCGGGGGGAAGGACATGGCAAGCCATCTTTCTTCTCCGTTGCTACACTGCTGGGAACCAGTTGCAGGAGAAGGGCAGAGAAACTGAGGCCAGGAAGCTGGCTGTGGGCAAGTTACCGCTGGTGGGAATCCAAGGGGCCAAGTAAGACCCCTGCCAGAGGGTGCCAGGCAGGACTGCTGGTGAGCTGGGAGAAACAGCACAGGAAGGAGCTGTGCTGCGGTTCCCAGCTCTCAGGGACGTGGTTTTATGGCATACCCGGCAAGGACTGGTGGTGGAGATGGGATCTCACGAGTCCCACCAGCCTCCGTAGCTTTTTGCCATGAGAGATCATCCTCCCTGCAGGGTCTGGGGACTGTTTCGTGCTCCTGGCTGTACCAGGAGCCCCTGCAGTTCCCAGTGGAGTGACTGGGGAAGCTCACAGTGGTGTCCCCATCCCGAGCCAGGCTGAAGATGCTCAGCACCCCTCTGGGGCAATGTGGCATGTGCCATCTCCTTGTGAGGCAGAGCTGCTACCTAGGGGCTCTTGCGAAAGTGGATGTCCCAGGGACCTTTCTCCACCCTCAGGCCTCTCTTCTGATGGGAGGAGATGCCTGAGGGCAGCGCTGAGCCTCCAGCAGGGCCTTGTGTCCCTCCAGGGCGCAGGAAGGCAGATTCGGCACAGGCTGAGTCCTTGCGGCCCCACTGCAGCAACAGCTCAGATGTGCTCGGCTCGGCCAGGGGCAGGAGCGTGTGGGCTCACCATGGCATAGCCTGCGGGCTCTTAAAGCGAGGGACAGCGCATAGAGCCAGCCACCCCGGGACCGCCAGCGAGCCTCCCTTCGCCGGCTG